TATAACTACTTTTATCTTATAACTTTCTATAATATTAATTGATTTACTTGAAGTAAAAAAGTTTTCAAACATTTATTTGCCATCTACTTCTTCCTGGTCTTGCTACTTATACTTACTATCAAAAGATGATTTAAATAATATAAATAAAACCAATATCTCATATAGAACATCAGATAATATGAGACAAGTGATTAATGATGATAATTATCAATATTATTCAATTTATCTTGAAATAAATGTATTTTGGAAATTAAGATATAATAAATTTATTACTTAAAATTAATATATATAAAACTAATATTGTCAAATGTTTTTTTAAAAATTTTAATATATATGAAGCAATTGTTCCAGAGAAATATTATGGAAACAGTGTAAAAATCAAGCAATTCAAGTCTTTGAAAAGCAATTTTTATCGATTTCTCAATTTCAAGGCTTAAAGATAATGAAAAATATATTTGACATAACTTATTTAACTATCAATTAATTGTAAAATATAATGAAAATAATAATTTTTCCATTGTATAATCTATATAATAATTATAAAAAGTCAAGAATAAGCAATAAACAGTTATTTCAAGTTTATTATTAATTTCTTTGAATGTATATTGCATTTTGAATGGAATCATTTAATAACAATTCTATAAATGAACTTAAGGTAAGTAATATTAAATTAAAAATTAATCACATTTACTTTAATTAATAATATTTTCTATTATAGATGTTTATTAATGATTGGGCTTAAGAATTTATTGAAATATTTGCTCCATATTTACAAAGTAATTTGCGATTATCAAAGCTTTATATCTGGTATTATCATTTAATACTCACAATAAAAAAATATTGAGCAATAAATAATATGACTACAGAGACATATGAAACTCTTTATAAAACATATATTAAAAATCTATACTGAATGTCTAATAAAAAAAATTATATAAGACAGATATTAAAAATGATATAATTATAAATTTATCTTTTAATTTTTATTATTTATTATTAAAATTTGATAATTAATTGTTTTAGATTAAATGAAAGAAATTAATAGAAAGTGAAGTTTCTAAAAAATATTAATAAATTATGAAATTTCATAAATCTTTATGGATATTAAAATTGAAAGATTTAAATCACTTCATACAAAAAAAATAAAGATGATTTGGATTTGTTACAAATTGAGAAATTTAATATCTTAATAATAAGTCTTGATGAATTTCTTAAAGAAGAATCAATTAATTTTATTGATAAAAATCATTGATTAAAAATATTTTTTTTAACAGCTTTGGAAAATAAGATATTATTTGTTTCTTATCAAATTTTCATAGGAAATTATTTTTTTCTAATGTTATTGTAAATGAAAAAAATAAAGATGAAGAAATAATTGATATGGTTTGATAAGCAATTTTATTTAGATATTGTTGATATTCAAATTTTATAAATCTAAAGATAGTAAACCATTTAAACTTGTTCATATTCGTTGGTATTAAGAAGAGAATGAATTGTGGGAATGTCAAAAATTAGAATTACTTGAACAGTATAGTTGTATACTGATAAATGGTATTGATAAAAGTGTACATATAGTTCCAAGATTTGATAAAACAAATGAATATTTAGTAAATAATTATATATAGTATTTTAATTTTAATCTATCAAATCAAATAAAATCGATTATTATTTAAATTAATTATAATGTTTTATAATAATATATAACATTATTTGTTAAAAATCAAAACCTATTTATTAAATAAAATATGATTTTTATCAATATAAACCAATTTTAAACAATTTTTTTTTTTTGATATTAATCAATATAATGCACTATTATCAATATACAGTATATCAATTAATTATAATTGATTATTGGTGATTATTGGTTGACTATCGATAAATAACTCTAAAAAATTTCCTAAGAAATTTCAAGATTTAGATTAGATTAGATAGTTTATAAATCAATAATAGTATTTTTATTTCCTAAAAATTTTACTTGATGTATGGGTTCATTTTCATAGTAGTCAAAACTCATATAACAGGATAAAGTTATAGGTGAAAAAGCAAAGTTAACTTAAATGGACCTTGTACATATGTAATTGAATATAAATCATTCAATAAAAGTAATATGCTATAAGCTTCCTTTACCCTCAAAAAATAAATAAATCAGAAATTGATGTTTAAATAAAGTTATATTTTTTCAATTAAAATCAACAAATAAATATTTATTAGTCCAGAGTGTTGTGAAGAACCATATACAATATTTCTATACATTTTTGATAAAATTGTCCGTCTGTCCACCCCTGTATTTAGTGTAATGCAAATTTACTAGTTTATTTAGATAATTAAATCTTAAAAAAATTTCAAAATTTCAAATAAAAAAAACAATAGATTGCATGCATTTTATATCACTAATAATATGCGTGATAATTTGATTGGTTTAGTTATCATATTAATCGCCTATTTTTCTTCAACAGTACAAAAAAATAATGACAATTTTTAAAATATTTATTATAAAACAACATCGATTTTTTTTACTTACAATATAAATTCGTATGGGCGTTGATCGCTGATCGACGAGAGATGCGCAGCCAAATCAAAAAATAATTTTTGTTGGAGGGCTCATAAACTGCTACAATAAGTTATTATCTACGTTTTTTTTTAAAAAAGTATTTATTTGTTGAGGTAATCCCCGATAGAAAATAAGAATCTACACGAAATACAGTATGTCAAGGGCAATTAATTGAATTCATTATATCTGTTTGAAAATAGCATGGTACGGATTATCCTTGATCATACTTAATAAAATATATATATATACTGAACCACGAGCTACCATATTTACTGTAATTGCATTCAATCAAGTATTCAAGGTTAATACAATATTTGTTTAGCCTATGAGCGCAACTTCTTTGGTAAGAATATATTGCGTATTTTTGATACATTTTATTATTTGCTGCATAAGAAAAAACATTATCATAAAAATTAAAAATCACTTATTACTATTTACAAAATTATTACTACCATTATTACTATTACTGTTGATTGCATGGTAATATTTAATAAAAGAGTTATTAAATGACAGTATAACTTTTAAATCATAAAGATATAATTAATCGGTTATTTTATAAACAATAATTTTTTTTTTAAGGCATCACTTATAAACCTTAGAATATCCAATGTCATGATGCTATAATTATCAAAAAAAAAAAAAATTGAATTTTATAAAATTAATTTTATTTTTTAATTGAGGAGAAATAAATAAAGTAATTTCAAAAATTCATATTTTAATCAAGTCATGTTTATTTTTTCCTATTGATGTGAACTAGTCAATGGTCTTTCAAGAGATTGATAATTCGTTTTTACTAGATTTTTTCAATTAAGAAATGCAAGATTATTTAGAGTCAGACGGCTGAGGGTTACGCGTATTGTGTCAACATGTTGATTCCAATTTTGGAATTTATCAATCCAAATGTTTAACGTGAGAAAACAAAGAATCGGGACACCAAGGCAATACTGTACTGCACTTTCACATCTACGGTAAAGATATAATTGGAAAGGTGAATACATTCATATGCGTATTTGGTGACTCATCAGCAAATATGATTGCAGGAATCGCAAAATCATAAATGATTACATCAAGGGATTGGATTAAAAAGAAAAAAAAAATTTTTTTCAGATGCGGACACAGAGATTATGAAATTCTCGCGATTAGTGTTCCACACTTTCACTCCTGTATACCTCTTTGTAAGCATTACAAATCTGGGGCCGTTATATATTCTGCAAATAATAGAATTTTGTACGACAAATGAATGTTTGCGTTGTCAGTTATTTTTTTTTTCTTTTTAAACCACATCCAACCACATCAATTAAACCACATTAAGTTTCCGTACAAAAATAAAGAATGAAATAATGATCCTTTAAGATCCAGTTTACTCCATACGACTATCAGAATTATGGATTGCACGTGAGTGGTGTGTATTCAACCACCGTACGTGGTGGTACGTGCGTGAATCGCTACATCTTACATTTATGGTAGTCCGACTTGATAACGAAAATTCTATCAATTACCTAATTTACATGGTGCATTATCAAAACGAAAAGCTGGTCCTTGAGGTTTGTTACACACATTCAGAAAACAACATGCATGTGTCCTGCACATCCATTCATTTTCCTATCTCTTATCAAATGCATATGTACCGTTTAATACTATTTTGTGCTGTACACAAACACGAGTCTTTCGCCTTACACTGCTGATTGATTATCCTATGAACAAATTCAATGAAAAATTCGCCTGGAATATTTAAAATCACGGAATACTGTATATACAGTACAGCATATGTTTCAGTAGATACAGTACAGTATATGTTTCAGTTCAAGATGATAATATTCCCGGATAGATCGTCTTGAAATTTGGATATTACTATCTTTGTACGCGCGCATACAGACCTGTTTTTTTATCTTAGATTTTCTTATCTTTATCATTGAGCACTGGTCAAACCTTAAATAAAGACTACGTATTGTCTTATAGACCATGAGTGCCCAACATAATCTGTGTTCTCTGTTTAAGGAAAAATGATAAGGTTGTGCCAGTAAATGGTAAGATGATTTAAATTCGTTTTGGCGTAAATATTCCGTGCGACAAATAAAGTTGTCAAACCTTGATCTTACTTCTGACTAGGTCTCGTGGCCTAACCTTCTGAATTTAGATGATAGCAATGGATTTTCATCAACTTCTCTATAACAAGTAATAAGCACACTTCCACCAAAAGTGGGTTTGAGAAGCAGTTGATGGAAGATTTCATTCTAATCTCATATGATCTATGAAAACACCATCAGTCGGTTCATCTGCTCCTCCATTTTTTATATAAACAATGGTCGAACATGAATTTCTCCCTTACGATTATATATGTTAATGACAAGATAGTCAACGTAAAACTTTGAATTTTATTATTTACGTTTAGTTGCATTTTCATATATAATTGGTGAGACGACCTTAATCATTTGATACGGAAAAAATGACTGAACCCGTACTTAGTCAGGGTGTTGGTTGGGGAATTGGTAAATATTTGATTTATTCTTACCCAATTGCAAATTATATCAGACGCGGAATCTTTCTTTGAAAAAAATTATTATGATGATAATTCGAATCGACCATTTTTCTTGAAAAATAGTGCTCGGGTTTGGTGCTTTCTTCGCCATTGTCATGACACTGTTGACTTTTGCTCAGAAACGTTATCTTCAAGAGTATCAAACCAGTGAAATGTTTATGACTGCTCATCGATCGGTAAAGACTGGTTTGGTGGCATCTGCCGTTGTCTCTTCTTGGACTTGGGCCGCTACTTTACTTCAATCTTCCTCTGTGGCGTATAAATATGGTGTTTCTGGGTGAGTTTTTCATCTCCGTAATTTGACTCCTTCTTTTTCCGTCATTTTTATTGATCGATCGACCGAATTTACCAGACCGTTCTGGTATGCGTCCGGAGCTACCATTCAGGTAAACACACTTGACTTTACTGATTGCTTGCGTTCTCACTTTGAATCATTGACCGAATCGTCCTCTATTAATTAGGTTTTACTTTTCGCTATACTCGCCATCGAACTCAAGAGAAAGGCTCCCAATGCCCATACTTTTCTTGAAATAATGAATGTTCGTTACGGAAAAGCTACCCACCTTGTATTCCTATTTTTTGCTTTGGCAACAAACAGTAAGGAACCTTGAAATTATATGGTGCATGAAATTTCTTTTCTTTTACTTTCGGATTATTCATTCCCTCCATCCTTCTATTTTAAAAAGTGATCGTGACCGCCATGTTATTGCTTGGCGGTTCTGCCGTCTTGAATGCTCTCACCGGTGTTAACACTATTGCTTGTTGTTTCTTACTTCCCCTTGGTGTGCTTATCTATACCCATTTTGGTGGAATCAAAGCTACCTTCTTAACCGACTATGTTCATACCACCGTTATTTTTATAATCATTCTTTCCTTTTTGTTTACTGTCTACTGTACATCCCCCGAAATTGGTTCCCCTGATAGAATGTACGATATGTTAGACCAAGCTTCCTTAAAATTAAGGGTCAACAATCCGGATTTGAATGATAACGCACAAAGTTCCTATCTCACAATGGATTCTTTACAAGGGCTGATTTTCGGTATTATTAACATCGTCGGTAATTTTGGTACTGTGTTTGTTGACAATGCATACTGGCAAAGAGCCATCGCTGCCCGACCCTCATCAACTGTCAAAGCATACTTGATCGGTGGTTTGGCATGGTTCGCCATTCCATTCACCCTCGCCACCACCATGGGTCTCGCCGGTGTTGCCTTGGTCGGAGCAGGAGACATAGATCCTTTGAAAAAAGAAGATGTTTCTGCAGGTTTGGTGCTTCCTTTGGCCGCCGCTCACATTTTAGGCAAGGCCGGAGCTTTTGCGGTATTGGTATTGGTTTTCATGGCTGTTACGTAAGTAAAAATTCATTTTTCTGTTGCGAACATCACGCACACCGATCCGCTATACTTACATCTACCTCTTTCGGTTGAATAGTTCCGCTGCCTCCGCTGAACTTATTGCTGTTTCATCTATTTACACATACGACATTTATCGCACATATGTTCATTCAGGGGTAAGATCCATTTTTCTATTGATGAAAAAAATTTTTTGTTTGATTTTTCAATATTGATTTCTAATTTTCGCTACCGTTCTCAGGCTTTGGGAAGTCAGGTGATCGTCCAATCGCATTATTCCGTTCTTGGTTTTGGTATTGGCATGGGTGCTCTTGCCGTTATTCTCAACTATATTGGTATCGACCTTGGATACATGTACCTACTAATGGGTATCATTTGCTCGCCGGCTGTATTTCCTGTGGCCTTTACACTTACCTGGAAAAAACAAAGTAAAAGCGCTGCTATCAGTGCAGCGCTCATCGGTGTTGTTGCCGGAATTTCGGTTTGGTTAGGAACAGCCCATAAACTTGACGGTGTGATCACAATCGATTCTACCGGCAAGAACTATCCCATGTTGGCTGGAAATCTGTGAGCTTTTTTATTTTTCTTTTTGCCGCTATGGTTTTATGTGGTTATTAATTAACTTTTCCCAAATTTAGTACCTCATTGGGTGTCTCACTGATAATAACCTTGGTATGGTCAACACTCGCTCCCGACAACTTTGACTTCGACGTGACACGTTCAAAACTACAAATTCTTACTGACGATGAAGTTTTGGAAAATGCAAACTACCAAGATCCAATTGAAACGGACCCTGCTCGCCTGCAGAAAGCATTCAACTTTGCTGTCTGGAGTAGTATTGCGTTAACAATTATACTAATAGTGATATGGCCATTGCCCATGTACTTTTCGCACTATGTTTTCTCTAAACCATTCTTCAAATTCTGGGTGGCCATCTCATTTATTTGGGCCATTTGCAGTACTGTTGCAGTGGCTATATACCCGGTATGCTCGACAGAGTTTTTGTTTTTATTAATAAAAAGTTTATTGATAACTTGGATGCTAACATCTTTTTATATCATTGACAGCTATATGAATCAAAGAAAAGTATTCAGAGTGTATTCGGGGGAGTCATATCAGATATCAAGGGTGAACGTATTGAACCGAAGGTTAATGACGGCGAAAAGGATTATAGGGACAATTCAAACCAAGTTATTGTCGAAAATAAGGCGTAAAATACAAACTTTCACTTTAACCTTTACACATTACCCTTCTTCCTTTTCAATTCCTTACTACATATTTAATTAATTTGGGACTCGTAATAAATTTTCTAGTTTTCCTAGAAATAGTTAATAATGTCTATTCACTTTCTTGAAATTAATCGTTGGAACCCGATCATCGCCATGGTTTAATTGATAAAAGATATACTGTACTATTTAATATATACTATATTATTTTCAAATAAAGTTTATTTGTATAATAAATATACACGTTCTGCATGCAGTATGCGCTTGAGACAATGCATAAACTTGCATTCTAAATTTTTTTATAAAAAATATTGTCGACGAATAAGATTCTTTTTTACAAGTACTGTAAAACATCCAAGATATTCTTCAATAAATTAATTGAAAATTAATATTTAGAAAATAAAAAATAGAATAGCTTTTACATAATTAATTTATATATTTAGGTTATCATTAACTTATAATCTGCGTAAAGATCATTAATATACTGTAATATTGATTAGAAAGTCTTGTTTAATAAAAATTTCATATTTAATACCTGTTTGCAGTTAATATTGGTTTATTTATTTTATTCAATCATTTTATATTTTTATTCAACTTCATTTTCCAAAGAAATTGTTGAAAGTTGTTTTATATTCTGGTTGCAAGGTTTTAAGCAACTCAATAAAATATGGATTTTCTATTGTTGCCTATGAAATTCCATATATAATAAACGCTTTTAATAAAATTTTGATGATTTTTTCTTGTAATCCAGATTGTAGAAACTTTGACTTGTAAAAATCATCTAATTTCAATTGAATATCAGAACTTTCATTTTCTGAACTTGAAACTATTTTTCCAGCTATTATTTTAACAAAATAAGTTGTAATTGTTTCTGGATATGAAGGATATCTGTTTATTAAATGTTGCCAAAGTTTTTGTGGTTTTTTATTTTTCCAAAACTTTCCACAATAATTATATATGGCTTGATAATAACCATTGCTTTTTTTTACCTTTTTTTGCATGATTCCAAATAGTACTATTAGATCTTTCATCTAGTTTTTGTTTACTTAATAAAGAGGACATTGTGTTAAAAAAAAAAAAATTAAAATTACAATATAAACTTTAAAAAATTAATTTGAAAATAATTTTTGTTTATCAATTATCAAGTTTTACAAGTTATGTCCATAATTTTAGTTATCAAATTTAAGTTTCAGTTATTAAATTTTAGTTTTGGTTATCAAATTATAGTTTTGATTATCAAATTATAGTTTCAGTTATAAAATTTAAGTTTTAGGTTTTAGTTATCAAATTTTAGTTTCAGTTATCAAATTTATGTTTCAGTTATTAATTTATGTTCTTATAACCTAAACTATACATGTGATATAAATTATTTGCTGTTGACTCAATTCTTAAAATCCTTAAAAATAATTGTGTCATGACTCCATTATTTATATATTTTAATAGTAACTCAAATAATTATGTTAAATAATTGCATCAATTGCATCAAAGATCTATAAATTTCAGTAACATATATAACCTAAACTATTAAAGAGACATAACTTAGTTTTGGTTATAAAAATTTTAATTATAAGACATAACTCTTAGGTTTCGAAATCAATCTTTAGTCACAATTAGGGCTCTTAACGATACCACTTCGATATCATTTCGATACCAGTTTGATACTTAAATTTACTATAAAAACATATGAGTAGGTCACAACCCATATATTAAATTTACTATAGATCGGTACCATTTCGATACCAGTTCGATATCAGTTCGGTACTTTTTTGGAACCCTAGTCACAATCCATATATTAACTTTATTATAAGTCAGTACCAAGTCAATACCATTTCAGTACTTAGTTTGAAACCCTAAGCTAGCATTTAATTCATTGTATTAATACATATAAAAGATATTGTTTCTTTTACAATGTATATTTATTATTATACAAATAAATAAATAAATGATGTTTACCTACAAAAAAAAATTTTTTTTTCAAATATAATAAAAATTTTGATTATTTATTTATTTTTTTATTATAAATTGTATAAGATTTTTTAAATAAATTAAAAGCAATAATAATAATTTTTATTTTCTGATAAATCAACATTTTTTTAATTAAATTTATTAGAATTTTTATTTTAAAAAATTTTTTGTTATATTTAGTTATTTTATTAAAAAATAATATACAATCAGAAACAAAAAAAACTACATTTTTTTCAATTGTTATTTTTAATTATAATTCAATAAATAATTATTTAAATTTTATGAAATTTTACAAAAATATTCTTTAGAATATAAGAAAAAAAAGATATAAATTTTATTGAAAAATATGTATTTATTTAATTTTTATTTTATTTTA